AGAGAAACAGTTCATTGATGTTTGAATTGAGATATTATGACATTTACACCTCTCTCTCTCTCTCTCTCTATTTTCATTATAAATTTATTTAATTAAATACTCATTTTATAAAAGTATTCAATACTTAATACTAACGAGTGTTTACTAACAGTAATAATGAGATATTCATTCAGCTATTGATTAGAAACCAATGTTTTATAAGATATTTAATGTGAATACATGTGTTGTAAATGCAATTGATTTTTTCATGAATTTACTGTTTAATTTTGCCTATAATTTATCAATTTAAAACAACTATTAACCAATAAACACTTAATTGTATGATGTTAATAGAGTTACCTATTAATTTAACTATTATTTTCACCTAGAGCAGTTCTTACGATAGTATTTACATTAATGTAATGAAATAAAATAAGTATAATTAATGTAATTCTTTTTGTATCAAATAAACCCATAATATTATTTCTATTAATATTTTTATTCTTATCAATAGTTTATATAAATTATTGAGTTATCATTGATTGTGAGGACATTTGTCATATTCGCTAATATATTGATAAGTAATAGCAATCTATTGATTGTAATTCTTGTTTATTGTAATAAAACTAAATTCTATAAAATTTAGAAAATAATAACTATTATTAGTCAAAAACAATGAATTCTTATACAAACAACAATTTAAAGATGTAAAGACAAACATCAATTAATATAATAAAATATGATTTATAAAATTTACTTTTGCTATGATTAAAAATAATTAATTTTATACAATAATTTGAGGCTTAATTTCACAAATATTCAATTTATATTTTTTCAGTCAATTTAGATAAATGATTTTGAGCATGTTTAATTGAATATATTAATTACATTAAATAAAATGGCATTAAATGCTTTTTCTGTTGATGTCTAGTGTGGGGACAAATCTAATGGATGAGACAATTGTGCAAATGGTATGTAATGTCAAGTACACGGACTGTTGCTCTTCTAATGGCATGTCGTATATCATGGTTTGCGCCGGTCTTGTAAGCCAACCAACAAGTGTCAGCTCCACAACTGTCATCCAAAGACCTATACTTTGATTCCTATATCTGTTCAACAAAATAAGTCCATAAAATTGCATTCAATTACTCTTAAACTTTTGCTTTTAGTTAAATAAAATTCATTTAATTATTGACCACTTTATAAAACAAATTATAGTTTTTGGTTAATTAATTGAAAGTTTTCATTGTAAACTTTCGTGTACATGGTTAAATATACAACCAATTTGGTGCATTTGTCATATTTGATAATATAATTTTTATGTGATTATAAAAGATCATTTCTGGTAAGTGTTTCACAATTATCTTAGTATTTCAATGACATATCAGTTAATTTTATCAACAAATAACATTTCTGAATATTTACACAGTTTTATATAAATTATCAATTTATTGGTTTTAAATAAAAGATAAATTTAAAGTAATTTTGATTAGTAATCAATTCATTAAACGGTATATAAGTAGAAATATTTAGAATAAAATCTAATTATTGATTTACAAAACCATTATAATAACATCAATAATTTTTACGTATAATAAAATTTCTAAATAAAATTCTGTTACTATTTGAATAATTTGTTTGATATTGAGCTAAATTCCTAAAAATCAATTGTTTAGTGAATATATAAAGTCATAAGACATGGACGCAAATGAATTCCGATCGGCCGCTAAGCAACTCGTCGACTTGTTACTATTTGAATAATTTGTTTGATATTGAGCTAAATTCCTAAAAATCAATTGTTTAGTGAATATATAAAGTCATAAGACATGGACGCAAATGAATTCCGATCGGCCGCTAAGCAACTCGTCGACTATATTGCAGATTATATCGAGAATATTCGTGATAGAGATGTATTGCCGTCAGTAAAACCCGGATATATCAAGCAATTGATACCCGAAACAGCCCCTGAAGATGGAGAGCAATGGAGTGCTATATTCGCAGATATCGAAAAGGTTATAATGCCAGGAGTGAGTACATCTAATTTGATTATGTTAACTACTCGTTTACTACAGAACTTGCATAAAGTTATACTGTATTAGAATTTCGGTTTAATTTTAAATTCTTAACTCTGAAACAATTGAAGGAATTTTTCTATCATTACTTCATTGACAACAGAGATATCAAATAAAAATTGATTTAAACTCTCAAATACAGTATACTATAAGACTCGATACAAGTGAACGAAAATTTGAGTAAAGGATATCATTAATCGCATGAATAGGTTGTGATAAAGGCTTTCATCCCTTTCTCAATCCCTCACTTCCTAATGTTATTCTTACAGTGAAATCAATATTAACTTTATTTACAGATATCACACTTTCTCTATACTTTTTTTTACTATATTTGGACGCAAAATATGTGTCATAAATAGCTTATACTGTATTATTCTGTATATAAAGTTAAATTTGGTATATAATAGATATTTCCCATAAAATCACTCTTCAATATCAGTACTACAGGCGATGATGAGCTTTGCTATTGTTATTCAGTAATATAGTCTTTGGGTTATTATAGACAAAATCAAGGTTTCATTCATCAAGTGATTTACTGTTCACTTTGGTATTCATGAGTTATTATAACATATTCTGCATTATATTCTCCTCTCTTTTTTCACACGAATACACAAAAGCATCAAATATTGAATTAAGAATTGGTTTCATTTATTGATTGAATAGATGACACACTGGCACTCACCCCACTTCCACGCATACTTCCCGACCGCCAATTCTTACCCATCAATCTGTGCGGATATGATGTCCAGTGCGTTGGCGGTCATTGGATTCACATGGGTTAGCACACAATAGCACACAATACATAGTTATATAATACATTTTAATGAATATGTCATTAATCTAAAAACACCATTAAAAGTGAAAATAATAGACTCAAATTGTCAACCATTTACTCAATGTATTAATTAAAGATCTCGAGCCCCGCGTGTACTGAACTGGAGATGCAAATGATGGACTGGTTGGCCAAAATGCTTGATCTTCCCGAGCATTTCATGTTTAGCAACGGCGGTAAAGGGGGCGGTGTAATACAGGGCACGGCTAGTGAGGCAACTTTGGTCACTCTATTGGGCGCTAGAAATAAAACATTGGCTGAAAATGGGAATAACAAGGAATTGTTGACTAAATTAGTGGCCTATGCCTCCGAACAGTCGCATTCCAGTGTCGAGAGGGCCGGACTGTTAGGCGCCGTTCAGATGAGACTTTTGCCAACCGATGAAAATCTTAGTCTTAGAGGAAGTGTTCTCAGCGAACAAATTAAGAGAGACAGAGCTAATGGTTTGATACCATTCTTCGTTGTGGGAACACTCGGCACCACTAATACATGCGCTTTTGATAACATACCCGAATTGGGAAAAGTGTGTATGTATTGCCGGATAGTCATCATTTAATTATTAAATTAATTTTTATTAAAAATGTTTTGTACATAAATTACTCGTAAACTTTCATAAATACTAAATATTTTGTATTGAAAACAGGCGAAGAAGAGAATCTATGGCTACATATTGACGCCGCTTTTGCCGGTTCAGCATTTATTTGCCCGGAATTTAGGCATCATTTAAATGGAGTTGAGGTTAGTTTTCTTTTTATTCTATAACTTTTTTAAAAACTTAGAAATTATTTAAAAATGTTATGTGTTTGACAGTACGCCTCATCATTCAATATGAATCCCCATAAATGGCTATTAATTAACTTCGACTGTTCAACACTTTGGTTAGTATTTGTTTTATGCAATTTTACCATCAAGTTTTTTAAATAAAAAACCTCGATTTATTATATTCAATCATTATTAGTAATTACCTTAATATTAATTAATAGTTTATAATTAACTTTCATTTTACTGTCAATGTGTTTGACATTCAATAACAATCAATAATAATTAATACATATTAATAGAAACGACAACTAATGACAGCATTTCTGCCTGAATTCACAATTATGTGCTAATATTACAGAAACCGTTAGTCTCTCACATATAAACGCAATGATAGGCAAAATCTATACTATAAATAATATAAGATTTTATTGAATTAAATTCAATGCCATTCTCATAATAAAGAAAAAATCACATTTGAATTGCTTTGAAATTCAATTTATAGTTATAGTTAATAAGAAAAACAAATTGCTTTTAACACAAACTAATAAATAAATTTTTTTATTAAAGGATCAAAAACAGCGAATATATTGTGGACGCGTTTAATGTGAATCCCGTATATTTAAGACATGATAACCAGGGACAAATACCCGATTACAGGGTTAGTAAACTTATTTAATAATCACGCCATCCGTCCGCTTTGGTCGTGTCATATTATTTTCATCTTGCTTTTATTTTATATTAAATTTAAAATCTATTTTGTAATTCAATGCAGACATTAGTTAATTAGAATTTGGAGATAAATTAGATAAAACATAGATTAATATTGTCTTTTTTTGGCACCAAAACACTTTTTATACCATTTTTGTTTTTAAAAATTCACATGTGTCTGAGAAGTGATTTAAAACTTATTTTAAATGCTATATATTAATAGAAATGATTTGCATTATAATTACCAATTTAAGGTATTTTTTGGCAAACCAGTAGAAAAATTATACGGTATATCAGATTCAAAATATTATACTTTTAGTTAACATTTTTAGAAAAAGTTTTAATCTTACTTTATATGGAAAAGAAGAAAAACAAAATCCTCTAAAAAATCGATTAAATAATGATTTGATTAAAAATCCCAATTATTTAAATATTAGATTAAATGATACTAATTATATCCCACTTTATTATAGCAACTATTTATTTAACTGCTATTATTAAAACACAACTAAACATAAATTATCGAAATTTAATATACATTAATAAGTGTATAAAATTACTTTTCCTCAGACTATGAATAATTAATAATAAATTATCGATTAAATTGTGATTTAATGCCAAATAATAATGATTGGAAACAATATTAATGATATATTGATAGAAACCCCATGGTCGTTTCATTGGTATTCGGGCTTTTTTTATTAGGGAGAATTGAATTATTTTATGAGTTTTAAATAATTTTCACAACATTTCACAACAAAATTTAAATGAAAGTTACATAACAAGTAAATTCATGCAAATTTCCAAACAATTTCAATGACAAATCACACGTTATTTAATGCAAATCATATAATTTTAAATTTAATAATACATTAATATTACAATAATAAACATTTGTCGTCACAAAGCACTGGCAAATACCTCTGGGAAGACGATTCCGTTCCCTTAAAATGTGGTTTGTTTTCAGAAGTTATGGCATAAAAGGATTGCAAAATCATATCAGAAAAGTATAACATATTAAACATACAATAGAAACAGAGAAAGTCATTGAAACAAAGGTCTAATTACAATAATAAAAACTTTTTTGTGTTTATTTTCAAACAACTAAAAGCAAGTGGTTTTAGCCAAACATTTCGAGTCATTGCTCCTCAAAGACGATCGCTTTGAGTTGTCAACACCGGTAGACCTGAGTTTGGTTTGCTTTAGACTAAAGGTAGGCCATTATCATCCAAATGAAGGCAAAACCATTGCCCATGCATTGCATTTCGTGATCAAATGTCATTATATTCAACATTAAGTCTTAATGAATGTCTGTGTGTTTGTAGGGAACGGATGCTCTGAACGAGAAGTTTGTGAAACTCATAAACGACGCCAAATGTATTCATTTGACACCGACTCGAGTCGGCGGACGGTTTATCGTACGGTTCGCGGTCTGCGCCCGAACTACAGAGGATAGGGATATCGACTTCGCCTGGAATGAGATACAGAGACAGGCACTCATCGCTCTAACCCAATAAACTCAATACTTATGATTACAATACATGTTATCAATAATATAAATATTTAATGTTATGTTTTAAATATTTGTTTCAATTTTTTATTTCGGAGAAAGAAAGAAAAACAAATTATAAATTTCAAAGTCATTGAGAGCAATGGTTTTGCGCATTTGATTACATTTGCAAATCACTGGTATATTAAACATCTCTCTCTCTCTCTCTCTCTTCTTTCTTTTTTACTTATTTTCGTATAGCAATCGTAAGCGAAAAGTTTTTTAATACATTTTACGGCACT